TCGCGCATGTGGTCGGGACGATTTATCACTTTAGAGGAAATTTCCATAAAGTTAAAGTCGGACCAGAAATCAAAAATCAAAAGAAATGCTTTTCGCAGCGGGACCACTTGTTAGGGGAAGTATGACTGGGTCAGCCTTTCATCTCAGCCATCTCAGATTTAGAGAACAGGGAGCAAAATAATTAAATAAAAGAAGTTTCAGAACCAACAAATTATCAGCTATGGGGAAATGAGGATGACGGAAGCGAGGAAGTTAGGATGCTGCCCTCTAAAAACCTGCTCATTTTTTAACTCTGTAACAGAAGCACCTTTTAGCTTTTCTACTGCTACTTTACATTTTTTGTTTTTCATCCTGTCCAAAATTAAACCTACAGAAAGCTCACATACACAGTTCAAAATGTTTTGCATACCAAAATGTGTTTGATGGAAAAACTGGAACATAAGTCAAAGAGAGCTTGCCAAGCAATTCGACTCATGCTTTTTGCCTCTTTCTGTCCTCCTAATAACCGCTGGAATTGCACAAGACAATAAAAACAAAGTCTTATTCATTACATTTTTCATCCTGCCAAAAAAAGAGAAACAAATGTGCATCCTGAAATGTGTGAGAAATGCCTTTTATGTCCACTTTTAAGCTACTTTACAAAGATTTAAGACTCTTTTTTTCTTTAAATTGTACATATTTGTCCAGTATCATCTTTTTTCAGTTGGTCAAACTTTCTATAAACTTCAAACTGGGATTCAACGAGTTTCTGTTTTCACTGGAGCCAGTTTTTTTTTTTTTTTTTTTTTAGCAAAAAAATTGTGGCATTTATTTTACCAAACACTGTAAGGAGGATGATGAGAGAAGAAAGAAAAAAAAAAAAACAACACTAATTGCAGGATAGAAGATTTTGGGTTTTTCACACACTTCCCCACACAGGACGCTCCTAGGTATCATTCCTCCGACTGATTAAACGTACTTCAATTTAAGGCTGGGTTTCTCTAAATATTCCAGTGTGGGATTATGCAATAAAAGACTCATTTATTTTAAGTCTTTGCAACTCAAACACTGTTCAAACACTGCAAAAATATGGCAGTCACAGCTGAAGCGCCAGTCTTAAAATAAATGAAACTTTTATAATGAACCCACAGACTGTGTGTCTCTGCATGGACATGTTTATTTTACCAGCATTGAATATGTACATCAGCGTTGCACATCCTACGGCTCTTTTTGTCTGTAAATCCCACAATGTTTATGCTGCCATCTACGACGCGCGCCTCTCCGACTCTCATTGGAATATTCATTCCAATTAAAACCCCGGGCCTATAAATAGACATCTATGATTATGTTGGCAGGGAGGAGAAATCCTGTATGAAAATTAGCTGTGTAGTATTAATGAAATGAATGCAGAACATGCAATATAGTCTTACATTAACTTATTCAGTGGGGTTTTGGCTTGTTGCCCTCGGATGCATCGTTTGAGGAAAACTCAGAGAACTAATATAAAATTCTACCGACGCCGTCTTCAGAAAAGGATGTTTCTAAATTCAGGCTGAGGGATTATGGCTGGGTATTTTTTCCTATTAACTGTAATAATAATAATAGTAAAAAAAAAAATTGCATATCATTTTTTTGTATATTTTAAGACGCAGGATAATTAGGCACCATGCCGCTAAATGGTGCTCAAGGTGTAATTTGGTAATGCTGCCAAACTCCCAAACAGCATTTTTGCCCCAGAAGAAATACAAAACCAACAAGGCCAAGGGATGTTTGATCTCAACACAAACTTTTACAGACCTAAAGGTAAACTTCATGGCTTTATTCTTAAAATGTAAAGAGCTAGAAAGATAGTTTTGAAGGTGAATACTTATTGTTGATGGCCTCCATTGCCACTAATGTCAAAGTTGCTTCAGTCTCTATCTGTATAACATGTTATGTTTAATCAGCTAAGTTATTTCCATAATATAGCTATATTATTATTATTATATTACCCAACTTAGGGAGGGAGGTGGTGCACAAGTAAAGAAATGAAGGACACAAGGAACCAAGGGAGACACATGAGAACAGCAGAGTTAAGAAGCACATGAGGAAAGACACATGAAGGGAAGGTAGGACACAAAGATGGAAGTACAGAACCAAGGAAAAGAAGAACAGAGGGAAATATGCAAAGAGGTGAAGGAGGGAGGAATTAGCAAAGGAGGAAAAAGAAAGCAAAGAAAGGAGGAAAGGAGCTTAAGGAAGGAAGGAAAACTTATAAGTTTTGGAAATATTCTGGTTCTCGGATAAGAAGAATCTTGGAAGTCAATTCTCTACTTTTCCTGACCTTACTTTAGAAAACCTGTCAGAGTTTATCTCTTGGCTTGCTTCGAATATTGATCAACCAGGAGAATCTGAGAATCTCTGACATGAACAAAACCTGAGAACGTTTCTCTCAGCGTCCAATGAAGCTGAAGTACCGAGGATTGGAGAACAAAGCGATGGAAAGAACAGGAGGAAACGGCCACAGTACAGTACAGACAGCGGTGTCCATGACTCTTGTTCTGCAAACAAACAAAAAGTAAACACCGGCGAAGGAAACACCGCGATACCCGATGCTGCTGATCGCTCCTCCACCTGCCCGCTCGGCTTTCCCAGGAGACCATTCTGTGAGCCACCAGACAAAAGCAGCGCAAAAAGCCAACACCTCTCTTCTCCCGAGGCACTCGGACACAAAGGAGTGGGGGGAGACAAAGCGATACAACACCTTTGTTTGCCGAGATTAAAACATGTTGCATTCTCTTCCTCACCTCCCATCCCCTTTCCTTTAGAGGTAACTCTGCACTGTACCTGTCAATGAACCCTCTTCCCATTATCGGACGCTCATAAAATCTGCCTTATTATTTCTGCTTCCCATTGTCTGGACGTCTTTGTGGTGTTTCTAGTGATGCTGTGCGTGGCCGATCAGACTTGGCGCAGGGTGAATGCGCAGGGCTATCTTATGCTGTGCCTCCCCTGTGATATGGGTATAAAGTTGGTGATGTGACTGGACTTGCTGCCCGCCCTGCAGAAATAAAACAACTACAGGAAATCAATATCCCGTCACTTGTGGGAAATCCGAGTCCGCCGATTACAGCTCAGGAATTTGTGCGCACCGCTTTCTCAATGAGATGGTAAATTGTTGTCTAATCTTTCGCGGCGCAGCAACGCAACTCTTTGTTTGCGTGTGAACACCAAATCGAGGCCTCTTCCCAAACTCCTGGGCAGCTTTTCCGACAAAGACGACAAAAGGTAAAGGCTGACTTGTGCGACGGGACACACACCAAATCACTTCAGAGGTGGCGGCGCGTTTGGCCCCAAGACACGCACCATCTCCACAGGGGGGTTTCTGCCAATCTGGCAACCGCGGCGGGGGGCCTCACTCTCATCAAGCGCAGTGGGATCCAGACCACTTACCTACCTTTCAATGTCCACACAGGTTTCAAAGTGGGACTGACGAGTTATGTAGCAGCAGTTATCCCATTACGCATAGCTTCAACGAGTCAGAGACTCAGCAGAAGCAGTTTGAGTTAGGAGGTTTAAAAAACATAAGGGTTGGTTTGGTAACTTGCGCCTTCCTTCTGAAATTCAATCCTTTTGTATTGGAGGTAATGCTGAAGCTTCCTGGTGGTAAATTCATATAAAGTTTCCTAATTGTTTCATTCTTTCCTGGCAGAGGTATACGGTTTCATGATTGTCTTCCCTGGAGGAAGAATTGTTGGCAGCGCTGAACGAAACGAGGACGACTTCCATAAGATGTCAATGAATTATACGAAAATAAATAAAACACTTTCACATGACAAACCCAAAGACTGAGAGTCAAAGACGCAACAACGTTAAAACTACAGCAGATGGCTAAAGTAGTCAACATAAAGTTATCAAATATGCAATGTTGTTTTAGCGTGCTTTTGATGCCACATGTAGGTGAAAAGCATTTGCTATTGTCTGTTACTGTTGTGTAATTGAGTTGTCGTTAGTAGCTGAAAAGTGAGACTTTAAGCTGCTTCCATTCACTGTTGCTATGGTACACTTGCTTTAAGTAATTACAGGTTTCATCACAAGTGGTCGTCTGATGGTCAAATTAGAGGGAGACCAGGATCACCACAGAACCAAATGCTTCAATAAATATTTGTCAAGTGAACTGACATAAGAGCAGGATGTCCAAGGATCCTACAACCTACTTCTTTTTCTGGAATATTATGGGTTTGTAAAGTAGCATTTTGTTTTCTGGGTGTAATGTTGATAATTTACAAAAATAAAGTGAAAATGAACTGAAACTGAACATTGCTATTTCTGGTTTCACATTGTGTGAATCCAGGGATTATCTCTCTGTTAGTCTTGGACTGCATCCTCTGGTTTCCTGTGCTCTCCTTTATATTTGTATTTTTTTAACCTACATCTTGACTTCGGATACGGGAATCAATAAAACTGTTATGAGCCAAAGCCCTGAATGAAAAATGTGAACATTATCATACAAGATAGAAATATGTGAAGGAACTCCTGAGGAATTAAAGAACTGTATCCTAAGGTGGGTTTGTGGTTTTAAGCCACTTTTCAAATAGAAATCTAATCAAACAGACACATTGTTCTTGGTGAATGATCTTTTCAGAAAAGGAGGAGCGAATAAAAGCTTCTCCTCAAACCCTCCCTCTCAGTCCCACTATAACAACAACAAAAAAAGGAAAGCCATGATAATGAGGCCGGGTGGGAACATGTAAAGTGGAGGTGCATTGACGGGCCGCGTAAGCCGGCCTAATCCTCCTTCACAGCATTTGTTGTGTCATTAGAGCTGTTTACATTGCGGGTGCTGTGACAAGGGGCCTATTCACTCCCGTAGCCGTCAGCCACGACCGCTGCAGAGATCCAGTGTTGTAAGTCGGGCCGCTGGAAGCCACAATGGACTTTTAAAAGTGGGAGAATCACACACAGACCTTAAGAGAGGACACAAGAAAATGTTGATAAGATCCAGAGAAGGGGAGAGGCAAATAAAACACACAAAAAAACACTTTAGAAATGTCCCCAGCAGCTTTATTTTTGTGCAAATTTCAAAGATTTCCTTTGCCTCTCATGTTCCACAAATGGCTACATAATTAGATATGTAATGTCATCGTCTTTTTCACATGATGTGAAAGCAATCAAGTGGCCAATGTTTCCTTTAGCAAAGCCTACTTACAGGATTTCACTGAGTTCTTACAGAACCTGCTGGGATGAACCTGTTTAAATCTAAGACTTAAGGGAACAAGTTATGCTCTACAGCAGCAAGGGAAGCTATTATTAGTTATTGTGCATTAAACATGTTTAAAAACGGAAAATAAAAGAAACTAAATCAGTAATGCAGTGCGATTTTGGTAAGTCTGGTCATTCAAGTTTCTTTCTGAAAGCAGACTTTCTTATTGAGTCTGGTCAAACCAATAAGACTAGATGGCACCATGCAGTGTGTAAGGCAGATGTTTCCCACAAATTTACAACAGAACGGTTGACAATGTATGGTTTACGATACGTGAAAAAAGCCCTTTGCTTAAGAGCTAAATTTGCACTTTTATTCTCTTTCTGAAGACAAACTACAATCACGTTTTGTTTTAGCTAAGACATGATGAGATATCTGTGTGTGCACTCTGGGTTTATGCAGTTTCTTTATGTTCTGTGTATTTGTCGTACCTTACAGTGGTGATACGAGGTAGCAGAGATTAAAGAGCTGATATATACACACTCACACACAGTACAGTATAAGAAAATAAAGTAGCACTATTGCTTTTGGCTACAGCTCTTATTGCTGACGTATAACAATATGAAACTGGCTCAGATGATAAGCTTTGATTATATTTCCCTTTAATTTAAGCTACTATGAAACTTTCAATATATTTTATCTCTACCAAGCACAATGAAACATCTTTCATCAAGCCAGTTTGAGTTCCACCATATTTAAGATGTACACTGTACCCCGAAGGTTCACCACCTAACTACGCTTTTTAAGACTATTTGAGATATGTTCAAAGCAAAATAAATAAAACATAAGGCCATCGCTACCTGTGAAATATGACAAAAGAGCAGTCAGTCACAGAGTGATTAAAGGAAAGCTTTTTTTTTTCTCCATTAAAGAATGGCAGATACTTATTTAAGACTGTTGATATATGAAATAACTTTGCTAATCTTGATTCACGACTCTACAAAGTTTGTTTCCTTAATATTCATAGTCGAGCTCCAGTGGTCCATTATTAATGTACCTTGCCCTGAATGTAAACGTTTAAGACGTTTCTCATTTGGGCTGCTCTTTGAGCTGATTCTCCCTGAGAGCGCCGGTGAAGGTGGCCGTCCACACGTGCAGGGCCGTTCCAGCCGACAGGGTGAGGAAGAAGAGGAAGGCCACTTGGAAACCACACCAGTCCACCACTCCTCCGGCCAAAGCGCTGAACATCAGCTTCCCCAGAACCTCCAGAGTAGCCAGGAAACTGTAGTGGGTCGCCTAGATGAAGAGTGACAAGCAAAGCTACAAGTGAGCAACAATTTCTATTTGATGCGTCTACTTTACCATTCTGTTGGAGGAGAGCATTTAACATTAACTACTAAAAATCAGTAGAGCGTGCTTCTTTGTAAAAAACAAACAATTACTGCAGGGATGATGAAAAGGTGAATCTGAGATATTCAGGGTAAAAAACACCAGTAGATGAAAAGAAGAAAAACTCACAATTTTCATCCCATTATTTTGCTTTGTCACTCAGCAGCAGAATATTTTAGAGCTCCTTAATTAAAAATTTTAAAAATTTCATCTTAATTACTTTCAATTGGTGAAACAATTGAAAGTGTTATGTTTTGGTGTCTATATGTGTATTTACTTCTTCACCAGACATTCAACCCTTTATCATCAATCAGGGTGGAAATGGATTTGCTTTCTTCAGACCATCGCGTCTATGTGACGGTCTGTGGCTCCAAGAAAACGTCCTGCACCGTCTTCCCAAATCCCGTAGTAATCAACTGGAGGCAAAGTTTACTTTCTATGCTCCTCAGCAATGCAACAAACTTTCTGAAAACTAGAGGTGCACAGAAACTGACTGAAAACATTATGGTTTGAAACTAGGTAGCTGAAGGACTCGTATATAATAATTAAACTCAACAGAGTCAACATGTTGATGTTGGAGCTACTGGTATTTTATTTGAATCTGACTTAATAATGTCCTTGTTGCTTCCAAATGTGAGAATCTACGGTTTTGTCGGCCAGGCTGAGAAGCACGGTGCTCAGAGCGGCTTTGCCGGCAGACTGTGGCAGCGCTCCGATGCAGAGATCTCTGAGAGCCTGTGTGACCAAAGCTAAGTGGAGTGTCTTTATTCTGAGCAACTTGTTTAACAGATCCGGTTTCTTTCTCCTGGGTATCCTTAGCAAGCACTCACACTATCAGCTTTCTGTTACTGGATAGCACTACTTTCAATAACACGCTCATGCTACACACATCGAGCATAGACAAGATACTGCTTAACAAACTGAATCAATAAAAAGCAAAGTTATCTCCTCCCACGCCCCTCACACCTAACTGCAGCTCTAATCAGCCCATTTTTGTCTTCATTTACTGACGTTCATCTGAATTTGTTTTACGACACCTGCTCCACAGGTGTCTCTTCTTTTATTCTCGTTTCACACGCGAAGAGCCACAGCAATGCGAGTTATAATTTGTCACTCAGATTGACTGAGTGACGTCTGGACGGTTGCGTGAACAGCGATCGCCTTCAGGCGGTGATGGCCCAGATACGGCGGGGACAAAAGGAGTTACAGCAAAGTGGAGAAATCAAGAGAGGAGAGCAAGAGGCTGGGAGTCTGAAAAAAAAGAGAGCATTTAGTCCGAAATGAAGACAAGAAAACTTAGTCAGGTGGCTGGAGGCAGGAATCCGCCAGAAGAAGGAAGCAATAAACAGAAATTGGGTTTGGGATTCATTTTGAGATTTCACAGGTGAAAACCGCTGGTGAGAAGAGGCAGGTAGAGCTGGGAATAGGCGTGGCACGGTCCTTTTCTGACAACCCCGAAAGGAAATTATTTCACATTACAAAATAGCACATAAAGCCAAGTCAGATAAGAGAAAAAAAAAAACAAGAGACACTCTTTATTTCTAGCACATAAAAAGATTAGTTAAGGCACAGGATATGATCTACTGCTGCCGAATAACACGGAAACGACCAGAAAGAAAACAACAAGAGGGGAAAACAGAGTGAATGACGTCTTTGTTACCTGTATGCTTTCCTCGGCCCTCTGAGTGCAATGCATCATGGTAGTGAAGGTGAGCGTGGTGATGAGACCACCCAGGAAGTGCTGAACGCTCATGCTCAGGACCGCCATTCCTGCAGAAGTAAACACGTGCAGGCAAAGTGGATCGTAATCAAAACATCTGCATTCCAAAAAAAAAGGTGCTTTTCCTGACTGGGGAAAGGCTGAGTTACTGTGTTTTCTTCATCTTTACAACTCATACTTATTCTATGTAGATGTCAAAGTGAAGAAATAAAGAAGCAAGAAAAAGGTAAGCAGCTGAGGAGTAAAGTCTACCCCCCCAAAACACACACACACACACACACACACACACACACACACACACACACACACACACACACACACACACACACACACACACACACACACACACACACACACACCCACACACACACACATCTCCAAAACACATGTAGTGTTATCCTCTGAGGGGAAGTGGCAGAGCAGTGTTAGTGGGGAAACACAGAGGAACCACAGAGCCTATCTGTCTCTGCTCCCACGAACACTGAATTATTCACTCAAGACGCCGGAGTTTTTGCCGAATAAGACTCTTCAGTCAGCGATGCAAGGCTGCTGGAGTCACACAGATACTCTGCCTGATCAGACTGGAAGAGTGGGAAGCGGAGTGTTATCATGTAATATTGAAAATCTGAAACAGAGTGTTTTTCTGTTTTCTTTCTCTTTCTTTCTCCTCTCCCTTGAACTTTTCTGAAATCTTTGTCGGGTTTTGGAACGGAGGCGGGATGGCGGGCCTCGACTTTCAGCGCGAGTGCCTTGATAGGAAAGACGAAGTCTTTGGCAAAGATAAATGGCAGAGAAGTGAATGACTAGACTGGCAGCACAATGAAATCAAATGTGTCATTTGTGTCAATGTCCACAGTACAATACACATTCATATTTGAACATCAGCACTCATTTGTTTAGGTCACACAATATGACAGTGTGATCATTGTAGGTCTTTGTAGTTTTTATTTACTTGCACCGAGTTTTGAAAAGGTTTTTGCAGCCTTGCAAATATCTTTATTAGTTTTTGTTTTTTTTTTGTCACACTTAAATGTATCAGATCATCAAAGTAATTTTTATTTAGGCAAAGATGAACAAGTAAATACAATTCAGTTTTCAAATGATTTGCTCATTTATGGGAAAAAAAGTATCTAAACCAGCCTGGTCTTGAGTGAAAAAGTAAACATTTCCATTATTAAATTAACTCAAGTCTTAATATGATCTATTGATGTAATATATACAATATTTTGTGCTTTTCACATAATCATGTGATATTTTTATATATTGTACTTTGCTGTTTTTACTTGTCTGTATTTTTGCTTCATTGGGAGGTTCCTATCTCTGATCTGTTTTTAGTTTGAAGCACTTAAACTAGTCTGAATATGAATGGGACAATTCATCTGGACCTCGTCTTGCCCAGTTCAGTTTTGAAATGCGGTTAAAATAATTTTAAATTAACAGAAATATTTAGCTATTTCAAGCTACTGAAGCAGTTTTCTTTCTCCTTTGATTGTCTAAAATCATAAGAGGGGGGGTCCGGAGGGCCTCAGTGACAGTAATCATTTTCTGCCCTTTTTTCATCCCAGGAATCTTCTGGATGAACCAAGACAACTTTGAAACCATATCTTGTTTGAAAATATTGTCTGTTTTGATTTACATCCAGCTTCTCACCTTTCATGAGCGGCGATGGTTCCAGTACAGTGAGCAAAGAACTCTGGAAGACCATGCTGATGGTGCGCAGCACAAACACCCGTCGCATCATCGCCCCGATGCTGAGGAGAAACAAGCGACGACACAAATTTCAAGAAGACGTTTTAAAAAGTGCATCAGCGAGCAACATGATGTGTACGACGACGCCTCGGGGTTCGTAGCATTACATTTAAAGACCTTATCGTATCTCATGCTATTACACTAACACACATTCATGGGCACACACACACATTTACAAGTCAGCAAGCGCATAAGTAAACAAGTCCCCAGACACTAATTGATTCCCTGTTAGTGCAAAGAAATCATCCCCCTGTGGGTTTGATTCGTGACGTAATCAATAACCTAAGGAGATCCTCAGCGTGAGAGAGATAATTAATCACTGTTAACATACATACAAACACACAGACACACACATATGGGCACTCACACTGTTGATGTGACAACAGGGATTAACAGTGCCAATCACTCAGAGGATACCTGCCACTCAAAAGGACTGTGCGTGTTTATGTTTTTTCTGCATGTAATTATTTATGTGTAAAAAAAGATTGTGAGGAAGAAGGGCCTGTCGCACAAAGCTGAATTTCAAGACGGTAAGTGAAGCGTTTACACCAAACTTACCACTTTACTCCTTTCCATGGAGATCCACCGAGACGTGACTCATTTTTAGATTGATCGGTGATACTTAAATGGACAGCAAACCATGCTTGATACAGTCATACTCAATAAATTACAATATGAGTTCAGACGAGGCTGGTGTGTCGGACTAAAAGTAATTTTTGAAAACAACAACCTTTAAGAAGGTATTAAATTTCCTTTCCATTCATATTTTTGTGGGGTTTTTATGTGGAAAATCATCATAATTAACACAAATACACTATTTTCTCCACTGCACTCCTTCTCTCCACTCTCAACCCCGCCTACATCCTGACTGGAAAACCAAGCCTGCACCATTCACATGCTAAAGACATTCCTCTTTTTGCTTCTTCTTTACCTCCTTTCTCAATGATAGTCTTTCACATGATGCTTTCTCAAGAGATGCTAAAGTGTGTGCCTGTGGGTTAGAGAGAGAGAGTGTGTGTGTGAGAAACAAAACCCGCCTGGCTGCCACCTTACACAGGACAGACCCAGATAAGAATAGGTTTGTTCTCAGGTTGCTGCTGGTGGTTCTAAAGAGCGTCCCTGACTGACCACTCAGCCGTTTCTGATGGTGGAATGGATAAACGTTCCAACTGGGCTTTTAGACGTGGGACACAATCTGCTGGACAACCTCGCCTCTGTGTGCTAATGTGGGGGTGAGAAGAAGAGGTGAGGAAGGAAAAGTGTTCATCTGGCACAGGGTGGAAAACTAAATGGTATAGATGAACTTTCAAAGACTTATCGGCACATATTTTAGTATTTACTAGGATTTTCGAATATTAAAAAATAAAGTAAAAAAAAAAAGATTTTTATGTTGTGTGGAAGACAAATTTTACCTTTAATAATTAGCTACAATACCAGGTTATTTTTTTCAATCTCTAAAGTCAGTAGAACTGAGATTTCTGCAGTAGCAAAGGGGCAGTTTGATACTAAAAATAAAAATCAGCGTTCAGATCTGTGGTAACAAAGCTAAAACAGAAAATCATCTGCATAAATCTCTTGAAAAGAAATCATTGCTGTTCATCTAGTTGGAAAAAACTAAAAGCATTTACAAACAAATTGTCATTTGACATTAAGCAATGATTGCAAGTGCAGCTCTTTCCTGGAGCAGATCTGTTCATGCATCTGTCCTGAGATCAGACAAAGAGGTTCTCAGAGAAACCCGAGACTGCCATCTAAAACTGTCGATGTTTACAATTACAAAATCACAGAATTTTTACTTGTGGTTCTGAAAAGTGGCTTTTATTCGCAAAGTTCTTTATAAAACGAATGTGACAGCACAAACAATGCTTCGACGTTGCATCTGAACAACACAACCTCTGGTACACTGGTCCTTTGGAGCGACACAGGAGAAACGTGCAGCTGTCTGTTAGCCATGACTCAGCAGTTCTGTGTACATAACCGAGTCTTTCCTGAATAAATTCATTGACAAAGAAATTTCTGCCTGTAACTCTGCTGTTATGTCCCATAGAAAGTACTTCCAGTCTAGTGCTTTTGTGTTTTCATCCATTTTCTTCTACTTAGCCTATTTATTGTGAGTCTATTTAGCCGGATATTTATTTAAGTTAAAAGAAAGTTGCTCCCCTCCACTGTCACCACAAGCTCGTTCTGGGTGAGAGATTGCTGCAGCATCAACGGCTTAATGCAATCGGCCCTAAATGGTTACAGAAATGTTGACTTTAGATTATGAAATGTTGTAGGGCATCATAATTTAGATCTAAGTAGGCACTGGATGATAATCTGACTATATGATTGGATTGTATCAGAATAAATTTGATAGTTTTGATCTGCATTTGTACCAAGCTTGACTTCATTTGACTACATGTGAATTCAAAATGCTATTTAATCAGCATGTCGTTATACACCATAAAGTATAGTGACATGTTTGGAGACAGTGTAGGTAGAAATGCAACACACCAAGAATTTCTGGCCTTTTTAATAAGAATTCACAAGGAACAATAAGCATCAACCTATCAATATTTCACCAATTTTTACAAACCCATCAAGTTATTTGCAGTATGCTGTAGGAGAGCTCACATTTATCTCATACATAAAAACAAATTACAGGTGAGGGTATTGAATGTGGCCATTTTGAGATCATTTCTTATTTAAAAAGACATAAAGCTTAGATTTTAAAAAAATCCACAAAATATCTCTATATCCTAGAAAGAATGACAAAATAAGATGACATAGCTCCAAGTGTTTTCTGCCTTTAGTGGTGTGTGAACAGTTTATTCCCAGTACAAGTGAGATGGAGACAGCATGAAGGATCAAAAGGCAAAGTATCACAATGACATCTTTTCAAATCACTTTAGCCCTTAGAAAAGTTTGGCCTTCGGAGGTTTCCTCTTTGTTTATTAGTGTTCCTTCACGAAGGGAAAGAACCAAACAGGGTGACATCAGAGAGAGAGAAAGCAGACAACAAAGGTCTGGGAAAGCCAGCATACACATACAATACTGACACAGATATGGGCAGGTAGGATAAAAAGACACCACAAGTCAACATTAACCAGAGAAACACAGAACATTTACTGCCAAGTGATCACATGATGCAATTTGACATGAAACTGGAAAAACAGTACACAAGCTTCACTCTGAAAGAAAGAACATCTGGATATGTTGTTGGAATTAAAACAACGTAAAGACTCCTACCTCCGTAACATCATTGCATATCTGTGTTTCAAATGTATATTGTGATTCGCAGTACTCTGCCATGATAACAAGTTCTGCTGGACAATAAATTGTCCTAGAAGTCATTGCAATGAACACTAATACTCTTGTTTTGAGGCCATTTTCAAGCAATATATTGATAATGGCACAATAGTGCAAGACCACATTCTCAAATAAACTTTAACTTTTAATGAACATTTAACACTGCAACTGAAAGACAATATAAATATAAAGCTGGATAAACTGATCAAAATCTAGATTAACAGAAGGAATAGATAAATTCTCGTTTCAATTAGAAATGCCTTTAAATGTAGAGTGCGTCATCAGAGTTAGCAAACCAACATAGAGGTTTCCATTCCTCACAGCCTTCACAGCATAATAACTTAGCATTTGTCGGGAAATCTAATACCTACATTCAGCTACATCTATATTGTCTCTGCAAACGGAGGAGTGCATGAGCGCATGTGTGTTTTTATGCGTATTCTGCGTGTACCTGAGTGTGTGTAAAGGATTTGCTGTTCATGCTGTTCTCACACCACACGCCACACAGGGGGTCCCTGAGCTCTCAAACAAGGCAATGTTTACTTAAATTACCGTACACACCCCGAGAGAGAGAGAGAGAGAGAAAGTTACAAACACACACTCCAGCACACACGTACATACAAGCCAATAGAGTGAAGCCACAGTGATGAAGAAATGTTAAAGGAGAAATCTGCATGATGAATAAGGTGAGGAAGAAGGTAAAGATGATTACAATATCTTATATGATGAGAGCGCAGCATACACACTTTTTATCATATTGAATATTTTTAGCATGGTCGCTGTTGTTTTGGGTATTTTATCTCTACCAGAACTTTTATGTTTTTGTCACTAAATTAGCTGATACTGATGCTCATTTATAATGCCGTCCAAAGCATCTTAAATCAACAGTGCATAATTTGACAATCAACAGTGGTTTCTCACTACTGATGAAGACTACCTGAACTGGGCGAGCAGCAGGCCTCCGAGGGATGAGCCACAGATGGAGAAGCCCATAGCGACGACGCCGTTCCAGAAGCTGAGCTCTCTGGCTGTCATGTGGTGATCCAGGAGGAAAAGAGGAAACATGGTCACAGCACCCTGCTCACCTGGAAAAAGAACCGGACACAAAAAGTGAGATGAGAGACTGAAAGGAGAAAAACCAAAACAAGACCAGCTGGACAGCAGTTCAAGCTTGAAGCTTATTGGTGAGAAAATCTGTCTGTTCAGGTTAATATCAGAAAAAAAACTTCAACTAGAGCTGATCCTCCTCTCGGAAAGTGATATAGATGTAACACATTCAAACGTTTCTGAATGGTCCCTCAGTCTGGATTCCCACAGTCATGGTAAAGACTAATGATTTGACTCCATAAGGAGCAAGAGCCACAAAACGTCATTGCTAAAGAAGCTGGTTACTTGCAGATCACTGTATCAAGCATATTCATACAGAGTTGAGTAAAAGGAAAAAGTGTGGTAAGAAGAGGAACAGCAGCAAACAGGGACAACTGCAGCCTTGAGAGGAAGGACAAGCGAAATATCGTTAAGTATTTGAATGGTAAATGGTCAACATGTCTAAATCCTTAAACTCCATATGTGTGGAATAATAAAACACACCAATGATGCAGACGACCTGAAGGCTGCTGAGAAGCATAACAAACTGATCGCCTCCATGCCACGCCGCATTGTTACAGTCATTTAAAAGGAGACCCAACCAAGAACTAAAGAAACACAAATGAAAACATTTTTCAGAAACTTTACCTTTCTATTTAAAATATCCCTTATTTTGGCTCTTATGTAACATTTTGATTTCCTGAGAAAGTTTTTAGTATCTTTAAGTCATAATTAAAATTACAAAAAGTGATGGCAAGAAATATTTCACTCTCTGTGTAAGGAATAGGTTTCACTTTTTGAAATAAGTGACAAAAACTTTAACATAATTAATATGAACTTTCTTTCACAATATAAAATTTTTTTAGATGTACTTCTATATTTTGTTTTTTCATTCTATATTTTGTTTTTGTTTGTTTTATATTTTGTTTTCGCCTGGTTTCATAAGAAACCAGGCGATTTTTCCATTGACAATAAAAATATCAAAGTCGAATGCAGCAAGGAGGCTGGAGCAAACTGTTTAGCCTGCAAACCTGAAGAACACACTTTTTCCAGAGATGACGGCTGCAGGTTTAAACGAAGCGCATCGATGTGCCGCGTACCTAGGCCTATTCCTGGAAAGTGTCAATAATAGATGCCCGACAAGAAAAAGAATACCCTCAGTCACTTTATCAAAAAGGGGCCTAGCACTTTTCCTAAAGCTCAAAAGACAAAACACAACAAAAAAAACACAGAAACTTCCACAGATGAAACAGACCTCACAAAGACCTTTCAGTCAAAATAAAAAGTTTCTGTCAGACAGTACGACTTTCTTCTGTGTGGCATTGAGTGTGGGGGTAATGTTCTGTGGAACATTACAGTAAAATATTCAGTGGTGCCGACTACACAGTGTTATTATATTAATGGAGACTGACTTCAGAAAGACAGTGGGACCAAGGAGCTGCGTGAGTGACAGCTTGGCTCCCAGACTGCTGTCAAAGACGACGCAACACAACCGACGACTCACTCACTCAGTCAGCCAGGAGACAAACAAAAATAGAGAAAGAGACGGGGAAAAAAGACAGATGAAACAGACTCCCAGTGATTGGGAGTGCAGCAGCAGAATTAGAGTGTCACCGCTGTAACAATGGTGTGACAACCTTCGTGAAACCTGGGGAGGAAACGTGGATTCTCTCTGTAGCAAACGCTCGTCTCTCACTTCTGTCACTCATGTGTTACTGCTGGCAGATTACACATGCTCAACATACAGACGGGACTGACTGTGCCATGAAGTCTGTCATAAATGTTAATTTAACCAATCAGATAGGACATTCGCCTTCCGACAGACAAGTGTGTTTTGTTTTTCGTCTCCGAGATGAAGTCGGAGAGAAAAAACGCTGCAGGTTCACCATGATCTTCCTCATCACAACAGATCTAAAGAACAGAGTGGAGTGAGTGGAATAAGCAAAACAAATACATCAATAAAAGGATTAACTTAATTCTAGCCGTCTCGTATTTTATTGGCTGAAAACAGACACGTGGTTTACCTGAGCACCAACAAACACCTTTCCCAAATACGCTGACAAGAGAATTTAAAGGAAAAGGAAGATTAAAAGAAACAGAATGACTTCCTCATTCTTATGCATTTTACAAATGCAATAACATTTTTAAATGATTTCCATGTTGATGACATCATCTCAGTAAAAGTCACAAATGTTGCAAAAAGCAAACATTCACTGCTTTCAGCTTAAATGTAAGGATTTGTCCCAAAATTTGAATATCGATTGTATGTGTGTTGTTTTTTAAAGAATCACTACCAACTAGCATGACGCAAAACTCAAAAATCTGATCTCTTTCAATACAGTGAATACACCTTATTAGGTGTAACATTTCTTGTTCGACATTCTTCAGTGTTGCTGAGACTTAACATGAGCAATTTTTAATATCAATGCTTAGAAAAGTAGGAAAGTAGATATTTGAAGGTAAACTGTATTTTCTGCTACATTTTGGGGCATGTCTAAGTCTTACTTAGGCAGCAAGAGAGTGAGAAAGAGAAAGACAGAGGGCTAGGAGAAAGGCTGGACATCTGCTCTGTTTTATCCTCCTTAGCTTTGCATCTCGCAGACTTCATGAAAATATGATGTCTGCTGTTTTAGCAATAGTAATGACTAATCTGAGATGCGGAAGTCGATTTAAATCTGAAGTAGGAACAACAAATAATTCACATAACTGTTAAAACTGTCACTGTGTGGTGACAGCATATGATACAGATAATCTGTGCAAAAACAGAACTCTTCCCTGCGGTCCTACTGCAATCTGCAGAAACTCATTGTTCTGGTGGGCTCTCATTGGTTGCTCAGCAACAACCAATGAGAGCCAAGAGGAATGTTAATAAAGTAAACGTGATGTGACTCTTCAATGTCTGTTGTTTAGTTCAAAGTTCTGTATGTTCAACTAATTATTTCTTTACACATGTGGTATTGGTAGGAAATATAGTAGATCATCCCATTAACTATTCTCAAAGCAAGAATTGTCTATTTTAGCAGGGACTCTATTATATTAAGCAAGTTAATAGAAAAACTGTGAAGAAGAAGGGAGAGGAAAAGACATCAGAAATCAGAATAAAAATGGAATCTGATGAGGAAGACCAAGTCAAGTCACACAAAAAAATGAAAGGGATTAATGAGACAGAAACAGCAATAGGTCAATTAGGAAAAGAGAACTAATAGGATGCAGGAAACAAGCATCATTCAGTCATGAACAGGAAGACACAAACAGAACATGATGCAAGAGAGACGATTGCACTCAGTGATGAAGATGGCTGCAGACAGAGAAGCAGGAGGAGGAGGGGAAGCTGAACAGAGACATTGTTAGGAGGTTAGTGAAGAGGAAACAGAAGAGGGATGGCAGGCTCAAAGAAAACTGTGTTTAGAGACAGCACAGTCAGACAAAACTATTTACCGTTAAAAGAGCGACAAGCATTAGGAAGGGGGTGTTTTGTTGATCCTGGTTATTTAAAAAGCTTGAAGCACACACATACGTTTAATAATATTTTCTAAACTTTTGCAACAACAATGCAGGGTTCCGATAACGGCATTTTTAAATGAGACTAAACTCCCAATTACTGTTGTTGGTCAACTGTTTGTGATTTATTGTCAGCTGCCAAACTATTTTTGAAAACCCATCACTTGCTACCATGTGCATGGCTTGCAAAATTGTACATAGGCCGTGTGTTTTGCTGTAACAAATCTGTGTTTCTAACAAACTATGTGTTCCTCAACAGGCACAATGATATTTCTACAAACTGCTGTGCCTGGAAACATCTTCTGAAAGTTTTAAATTTACTGAAGCCTCAACCAGATCATCTATATTTTACCGTAACTTATAACTTAAGGGGTTTTCAAATCTATACATGTCATGGATTTTTTCGGTTTTATAATGTAGTGTCAGATTAGCCTCGTCCAGCCGTGAATGTCTAATCTAAAATGTGTCTGAGCATCAGAGACAAAACAGTCCTGAGGGGAACATCCCAAAGTAAAACATTTTTCAGTCCTTGACTTTAATAGCAAACAAAAATAAGTTCTTGAGCTAAAAAAAAGAAGAAAAAAACATGAAAGGAAAATAAATTATAATTAAAATTTCCATTGTTTTTCAATGCCAAAAAGTTAACTTAAAAGCACTTCTTAAAATATGTAAACATAATGATAACTTTACCTCTATTTTACTAACTACTGTCATACTTCGGAGTCAGAATTAGTCATGTATAATCGAACTGTCTCTGTCTACAGACACAGATCTACTGGCGGCACAAAAATAGATTCAAATTCGAATTAAAAAATCCCACATGAAAATTAAGTGCTGAACTCATCCAATGTTCGTCAAAGAGTTATTGTAGATACTGATGGCAACAGTGACCTCCTGCAGTGGTTTGCATTACAGAAGGACAATTCATCTTTTTCCAGTTGAGAACCATGGCCTCAAAGTCAGAGGATCTCCAGTGCACACTAAAAGCCATGGATTTACTCTCTGCAACTGCACCTTACGATCCTGTCCATGAACACCACAAACAGGATCGGTGACAAGGGGCAGCCCAGGCTGTCTCCGTCCTCACAGGGAACATGCTTGGATACAGATACAGTTCTTGCTTTGGGCATACAAGGATCAGATATCAATTAAAAGCCACCCAGGTGCCCCTTCTTATCCTATCAAGCACCTGAATAGGTGGACTGGTCCCCCCCTTTCCCCATTTCTAAGTTGTCAAAGGGTTTTCTATAAGGCCAACTGAATATCTCTATAACCTCTTCAAATCTTTCTCTTATAGAAGTCTTTACCCCACAACCAAAGACAAATCAGTCCTCCTGGCCACCCAGTACATGTCAGATGCTGCAATAATCCTAAAAAAAACAACCAACCCCTAAATCCCTTTTTCCAGCCTCATGGCTACCATCACCACTTGTAAACTCCAGAAGGTCCAGCCACTGATAACCTTCAGGCCAGAGTTCTTCAAAATCACATCTTCAAC